AAAGAAGTTTTATATATTTTATTAATATTAGTTTTAAAATTTTTAAGGTATAGATAGTTCACGTAGGATTAGGATATGATGTAATTATGATTAGGATAGATTAAGATATAAATGAAATATTCAAAATAATAAAGGGTAATATTGACCATTGAAAGATTTCCCTTAACTCGTACTTTTAAAGGGAGTATGATTTATTACAAAATATTCAATTTTTTAGGGTTTTACAACAAATAATATTAAGAATTGTTTGTAATCATCAAAATAAGATTAGAAGATGTAGGCTCATAACGTTAGACCTAATAATCTCCCATTTTTTGATGATGACAAGCAATCTACACAAAAAAGTATATAAGATATAAAATAAAGAACAATTATATAAGATATAAAATAAAGAATATAAAATAAAGAACAATTATATAAGATATAAAATAAAGAACAATTATATAAGATATAAAATAAAGAACAATACTCTTAAAATATACTCACAATCCACTTGTTTCTCCCCCTTTGGCAATATCAAAATGGGGAAAACAAAAGAATAAGAGAGCGAAAGCTCCTCCTATAATAATGCATAGGTGAGTATAAACAAAAAAAATATATATATATATAGGGATTGCTCCCCCTATCAAAATGCCATATGGAAAATGTGCAATTATGAATATGGCAAACAAATATGAGTAAGCATAGAATATCCTAAACACAACTCACATTAAAGAAGACCAAGTAAATACATATGCATGTATCATGAAGATAAGGTGCCACAAGAGTCTAAAACATAAAACCTAAAGGATTTCAAAAAAAAGTAAAAGAAAATCAAACGTTAAATGATTTATTTTTTTAAATTATCCACCATAAAACGTGATTGATTGAGAGTATAAATAGACATATAAAAGGTATCTCGATATCCAATTATAAAACATTATTTGAATATAAACAAAAGTAGATCATGAAATCAAAAAAATTGAAATTATGAACCTCATGAAGGTTCAAATAAAAGCCTCAAATGATACTAAAAGAAATTCACTGTAAATATTGTATCATTTTCGACAAAAACAAGAGAGGTGAGCATAACAAGCTCTTGAAACAAGTTTCAACCCAAATAAAGCTTTTAGTATCTGGTAAACCTCTCGGGGGTTGTTCAAACATATAACCTCTCATATGCAAATACAAAACAAAGTATATATCTAAACAATGTTTGATCAATAGAAGAAATCCTTTTTGTAAAACTTGATCAAACCATATAAGGAGTACATTATAAACCACAACTAGATGATCCGGAAGCTCAAACACATAAATATCATCATAAAGAGTGTTTCATAATGATCCTATAAATACAAGCACATTGTTCAAGCTTAAAAATTGAAAACAAGGTATACTAACAAAAATGATGTTAAAAAAAATCATCTTGATAAAAATTGTATCAATTCATAAAGGATAAAACATGAAAGTCTATGAAAGAGAATCATGAGAAAAAATTATGAATAATAACTTTTCAAATCAAATACCAAGTATAAAATTATTTTTAATTTTGTTTATAAAACTTAAATAGAAATCATCTCTAAGAACATGAAAAACTAAAAAGCTAAAGAATTTGTTCTTAAAGATTAAATATATTTTGATACCCAATTACTCTTGGTACCGAAGAGTCTAGGGATATGACCCCCTATCATTAAAGGTTAAAGCCCTAGGGTTATGATCCCTTTTGTGTACATTTTGTGCATGGATCCGGTCATAGCAATAATTATGCAAATGACCCTTTCAATTACCATAAGTGCAATGAAGATGATGCATTTGTTTATGTTGACCATATGGATGTGCACGTGAAACATTTGTAAACAAAAGTGAATTATTTGAAGCTTTTTACAAATGTGAAACATTTTTAAATAATGGTCTATTTGGAACATTTTTCAACTTAGAAGATTTTTGTAAATCATAACAAAATTTTGTAAGATGTCCAAATCTACCACAAATATTACACTTAAACACACGTGGTTCTTTAGAAACATTTGGAAAAAGTGAATTTCTTTTTAAATCAAAACAATACTTGGCCAAATGACCAAAACAACCACAATATTCATACTTATACACATGCGCATGTTTATGGTTATCACTATGTGTGTGTGCATGTGTATGAGATGAAGAAGCTTGATGAGATGCACAAACATGATTGGGCTTGTTAAGCTTTTGTACATTATAACAAAATTTAGCAATATGGCCTTTACGATGGAAAATTGAACACTTGTAAATTTTGTTATACATATGTGCATAGTGTGTAGTTTTCTTGGAAGAATTTTCACGAGACTTTGCACATATGTCTATAAGCTTTTTGTTATTGACAATGCATGTTTTTAGTGTTGAATCTAAAGAGGATATTCTATTTTTAATATGATTCAACTCATTATTATTCACACAAGCATTGTTGTTAGAAGTAGAACATGCATGATCAATTTTGAAAGAATTAAGCTCTTTTCTTATGACACAAGCATTGTTGTTAGAAGTAGAACATGCATGATCAATTTTGAAAGAATTAAGCTCTTTTCTTATGTTCTCAACTTCTAAAAAGAATTAAGCTCTTTTCTTATGTTCTCAACTTCTAACATAGCATCACATTTAGCATGAAACAAACTAACATTTTCTAATTTTAATTTTTTATTGCATTCTTTAAGATTTATATTTTCATTTGCAATGAGATCAAACTTAGTAGCTAGTGTTTTATGAGAGGATTTTATTTCGACATGCTTGCGTTTTAAATTAATGTAGCTACGTTGTAATTTCTTATAATCATGCATCAATAATTCATAGCCATGTGCGAGTTCATCAATAGGAAGATTATTTTCATTATCGGACTCGCATATCTCACTAGGGCTATCGCCTAGTGGCCGTGTGCATGATGAGGCTCCTTGTGAACTTGAAGAGGGAACTGCCAAAGATCATCGGATCGCCTCCAAGTCCCTTGATGTGCTTCAAATAATTTCCAAATTATATAAGCACTATCAAAATGAGCAAGTTCGTTAGAAATACATGGACCAAAAGCATTATGCATAAATTCTAACACTAACTTGTTCATTGTGAACATTTTCTTGTCATGTTTGCTCCACTTGGATTTCTCCGAAGCGAGCACAATATACCATAAATCTATATTTTTAGATTCAACAAAAAATTTGAATCTACAACACCATTGATCATAAGGGAAGTTACTGTATCTAGGAGCAACATTTATGTTATAGCCTACACCGAACATATCCATCATATATGAGAAAGCAAATTAAATAATATCAAAACAAGATTAGCAACAATATTAAAGCTTGGACCGTTAACTCAAGGCAGTTAAACCTTAAATCAAGAGAACCAAGCTCTGATACCAATTAAAAGTACCCTAGAGGGGGGTGAATATGGTTATTGCTAATCTTATTAGATATTAATACTGATTAAAACTTATTAACAAATTATTCTTGCAAGATAGATATACAATATGATATGAGCAAGAATGAGCAATATAAACAATAGGCAATGATGAATAAAATAGACTAAGCACTAGACACAAATGATACACCAATGCAAACTCTAACACACAAGAATGATCACGGAGTTCGGACCTTCCGTGATTTCAAAAAGGACCTCCCAAATGAAAAATATCATCATTTTACAAAATAGTCCAAAACATGAAAATGTAAACATATGAATTTTGACATTTTGGCTAAACCATGTTTTGAAACAATACAAAATGATTTTGTAGACTTAATAGAAGATGTAAACTATTGTTATGAAATCTATAAACAATGAATATAGCATTTTATCAAAATACACATATAATACACTAAAACATGATTTCATGGAACTAAATAAAATTGATATTGATGAAATCATATAAATGCATATAAGTATGAAACAAAAATATATTTTTCAATTGTATTCAATTGTTTCATAGAAAAACTTGAAACCTATCAAACCAAAACATATATGTATATATATAACTATATATATACAAAACCAAAACGTGTATATGTGTATATGATTGAGCTTAAAGTACTAACACACATAATATAAACCTAAACTAAATATACCCAAGCTTGTGATCTTCAACGAAGCTCTATCTTGGTACACTCACGGATGAAGCTTGAACTTGAATTGCAGGGCTTCAACCACTATTCCACCAACCTCCATTTGATATGATCGTTATGGCGTAATCCATCCAACCTCCAACATATTGTTTGTCTATAATAAATAGAAAACCACAAACACTAGACAAACAACATTAGTAGTAAATTGTTTGTTAAACATCATCAAAACAAAGAGGCTAACAGAGACAACCGGAGGAAGTGATACTTTTTGGTCCAACAGGACCCTAGATTCTTTGTGAGCCGATTTGTGTATTCACTCCACTTCTAAAACAGCAGTGGAGACCATTACTTTTCTTATAATCATGATTCGTCTTATCAAGTGTAAAGAGCAATTCCTAGGGATATGGTAAGTGTTATTTTTGAACGGATTACAATTGTTTATTATCATCTATTAAATAATCAACAACCTGCATTAAAGGGGTGGTCTCTCCAATATTTTTGGCGAGATGATCCAAATTCTTTTTAAACAAGACTGCAGAAATTTAGCCACCGTGTTAGGCACGGACAATATATATGTAGTAGTAATACCATCAAAACCTTAAGTCCTAATTCTGTCATGTTTACATGGGGTGTGGGAATGAAAGGTGAAACTCACACAACTGACGTTATGCGATGGAAATCCGGGATTATACTTAGGTGGCTTTGGGATCCTAGTGCCGTGGCAATGCTTCTATCATAGCCAGCCACCAAAAAAAATAAAAAAAAAGGAAAAAAGGGAAAAGGAGAAAAGAAAAGAAGGGGAAGAAATAAAAAAAGAGAGGCCATTTTGTTCCTTTTTCGACTATAAATATCAACCCAAAGACCATAGCTAACACACACACACACGAAGAAGTTCCCTCTTCTGCACTCTCCAACTACTACTTCTCACTTCAATCACAAATGCCTTTTAATGCGCCCGCTCCTGCCCACTCCCGCTCTGGCGTAACACCAATCAAGCTACTAGAGCGCCGTTCAATTGACCGAGGGAAGATGCAAATGACAAGGGAGGAGTTCAAGAAATGGCTTGAGAGCATGGACGGAGATGGAGATGGACAAGTTAGCAAGAGCGAGCTTCGCGCTGCGTTGAAAGGGCTCGGCATGCACTTTACCAGATGGAAAACTTGGAGGGCGATGTCCCGCGCTGACCTGAACCATAATAAGAAGGTTGATAGTGAGCAGGAGATTGACGAGCTCATCAAATATGCGGCTATACATTGGGGAATTCTTGTTGTTTAG